AGGAATGGATCAACGTGTCATCTGTGTATGACGCATGGCTGCAGGAGGCCCGGTACGAGCACGACGTGTTCGCACTCGTGATGAAGCAGAACGCGAAGGAGTTAGACCCACGTCACTTCAACCAGCACGAGAAGGCTAAGTTCGACGAGGCCGATGCCGCCGAGTGGCGGCAATGGATCGCCAACATCACGGTCGAGCTGGTCACCGAGGAGGAGGAGAAGAGCATCCCAAAGGACAAGATCATCTCGGTGCCCATGCGTTCGGTTCGCACGAACCGGGGGCGAGGGCTGGAGCTGGAGGCGAAGTCGCGCCTGATCATCCCTGGCCATCTCGACCCGCAGCTTGGTCTATTCAGGACGGATTCGCCTACTACTTCCCCTTGGCTGTGCTGGTGTGTGCGTCTATCACAATGGCGATGGATTGGACATTCGAGTGCTTCGACGTAGCGACTGCGTTCCTGTCCGGGCTGAAGCTGGAACGGGAGCTGTATGTGAGGGCTCCTAAGGACGGGCTTCCAGCCGTCGACGGTGCTGGATGGCCAGCCGTGCGACCTTATGCGTTGCTTCGCTTGCTGAAAGGGGCGCACGGTTTGACGGAGGCGCCTCGGTTGTGGTATCTCCGAGCCCGCCAGGTGTTGACGGACGAGGTCGGATTCGTGGAGCTGCACTGTGCTCGAGCTGTCTTCGTTTATCGGATGAACGATAAGTTGATTGCTATGTTGACCTTGCACGTCGACGACGGCATGCTGTTTGGAGACCCGCACGACCCCCAGTACCAGGAGGTGAAGGCGAACATCAACAGTCGTTTCAACATCAAGCACTGGAAGAAGGGCAACGACAAGGAGGCAGTCGCCTATCTCGGTGAGGAGTGGTGGCGCCACCCCGATCACATCGAGATCAGCATGCACGAGTACATCGGCAAGCTGACAAAGCACCCCCTTGCAAGGGGTGACGACGAGGAGCGGGAGATGACTCCCGAGGAGCACCACGACTTCCGGAGCCTGCTCCAGAGGGCGCGGTGGCCTGTCGCACGCGTGGTGCCACAGCTCGCGCATAGTGTCTCGGCGCTCGCACAGAAGGATCCGAAAGGTCGGAGGTTACTGCACCTGCGAGTGCTCAATGACATCATCGACCGGCTTCAGGACTACGACAAGAGAGCTCTTGCGACTCTCCGGATCCGTTGTGTGGACATCGAGCGCTTGCAGGTGCTCACGCTTATGGACGCTTCGTTTGCGAAGGAACCCGGCTGTAAGAGCCAGATGGGGTTCATGAGTATGATTACGGATACCCGAGTGTTGAAGGAGCTAACTGCATGTTGTCTAGTGGAGTTTCCGAGCAGTACTATTACACGAGTTGTTGGATCTACGATGGCCGCAGAGTCTGCGGCTATGTCCGTGGCTTTGGATCGGCAGCTTTACCTCAGGCTGCTGATTGAGGCAATCTTGCACGGGGAGCCGCCCTTGCAAGGGGACTGGAGGCTGGCGCTGAAGGTTCCAGGGGCGCTCGTGACGGATGCGAAGTCGCTCTACGATCACACGTCCAAGATCGGCTCGATGACGGTGTCTCGGCAGACCCTCATTGACTTGTTGGTGGCCAAGGATTTGATAGAGCAGGAGGCCATCAAGTTCAAGTGGCTGCCCAATAGCCACATGTTAGCGGACGTGCTGACAAAGGCCGTGCAGCCTAACGAGGTGCTATCGCAGTTCCTCCGCCACGGACTGTTCAGCATGGCGCCTACTGCTGAGCAAGAGGATGAGGAGGCACACCGTCTGCGGCTGCGCCGCGGACAGCGTGAGAGAGCCAAGGAGCAGAAGGCCCAGCGTCGGGTCGCCGTTCCAGGGCCTGCGAGCCCGGGAGGTCCTGATTGCAGCTGCTGATGGACCTAGTGAGGGCTACGGTGATGTATGCATATCCTTTGAGTTGATAGTCTGGAATAGTGGATCCAGACATTCATATTCTTATATTCATAGTTTGAGCCTCAGGCCGCACTTTGCTTGAGGTGTTTCATGCATATATTTTGAGTTGACAGTCTGGATTAGTGAATCTAGACACTCATATTTTATATTTGTATCTTGAGCCTCAGGCCGCATTTGCTTGAGGTGTTTCGGCCTGTGGGCTGATATACGTTATAATTGCGTGCAGCGTTTCCCTTTCGAAGGGAGCGGCATCGGGGCAGCATTGTACTCACCCAGTGTGAAGAGTGCACTCCCCTGCCCCTCTGCCGCCCGTGTCACCGTGCGTGCATGATGTACACGCTTGTCTTGTTTTGTGGCATGCACGCTGCTCGCTGCTGTTTTGGCCCTAGTCCTAGGGCCCTGGGACGCACCCGCAGTTTTGACTGCCGCGCAGTCCGAGCTAAAAGAACTGCACTGACAGGGGGAACCGCCAGGAGTCGGCGCACTCCTGTGATTCGCGCTCCGATGGTAAGGATGCCTCGGGCGACGTGCTTCTTCCTGCGCTCAGGACTCCTTTCGTTTGGTGGTCCAATGCTCACCGCGATACAGCAGGCGTGGCACTCGGGCACCTCAAGGGGGAGCCGCCAGGGGTCGGGGTAATCTGGGATTCGCGCTCAGACTGTATGGATGTCTCGGGCGATGTGCTTGCTTCGGTGCCTCGGACTTATCTCTTCTCGCGGTCCGATGTTCACCGCGACATCGCAGGTCTGAGTTTGGGCATCCTTAGGGGGGGGAACAGCCAACAGTAACAACTCCCCCGTTCGCAGCCAAATCGTGGGGATGTCTCGGGCGGTTAACCTCTTCGGTGTCTCCTCCTCCTCCTCCTCCTCCTCCTCCTCCTCCTCCTCCTCCTCCTCCTCCTCCTCCTCCTCCTCCTCCTCCTCCTCCTCCTCCTCCTCCTCCTCCTCCTCCTCCTCCTCCTCCTCCTCCTCCTCCTCCTCCTCCTCCTCCTCCTCCTCCTCCTCCTCCTCCTCCTCCTCCTCCTCCTCCTCCTCCTCCTCCTCCTCCTCCTCCTCCTCCTCCTCCTCCTCCTCCTCCTCCTCCTCCTCCCCTCCCCTCCTCCTCCTCCTCCTCCTCCTCCTCCTCCTCCTCTCCTCCTCCTCCTCCTCCTCCTCCTCCTCCTCCTCCTCCTCCTCCTCCTCCTCTCCTCCTCCTCTCCTCCTCCTCCCTCCTCCCTCCTCCTCCTCCTCCTCCTCCTCCTCCTCCTCCTCCTCCTCCTCCTCCTCCTCCTCCTCCTCCTCCTCCTCCTCCTGTTAGGATGTCTCGAGCGAGGCGCCAGCTTCCGCGTCCCGATGGGGGGGGAGCGGCCATTGGGGTATGACGCTCGCCCGTTGGCGGCGGCCATACTGCGGGGGGATGTCTCCAGCAAAGCGTTGGTGTTTGCGCCTCCGACCCCTGTCCATGTCAGAGTCCCGTGAGCACCTCGAGGTCAGGAGAAGGACGGCCGACGGGGAGGAGGAGGGAAGACGGCGGAGGCGGACTCGGGAGAAGGGGGAAGGGAGGCAGGGAAGGGAGGGGCTATACTGCGAGCAGGAAGAGGAAGGGGGAGGGGAGGGGAGGGGAGGACAGTGTATGATGAGTTGCCGGGAAACAAAAACACGACAACAAAAAGGAAGGAGAGGGGACGGGGGCGCCAGGGAGGGGAACACCTGCGAGGGAGGAGAAAGGAGGCAGGACGGCGGAGGAGAGGACAAGGAGGGAGGGAGGAGGGCCCACGAGAAGGCAGAAGGACGGCCGCCGGGGAGGAGGAGGGAGGGCAGAGGAGGAAGGAGGACGGCGCGGGAGGAGGCAGAAGGGAGGAGGGAGGAGGAGACGGGAGGGGGCGACCGAGGGCAGGGAGAGGAAGGAGAGGGTAGGGGGCCGCCAGGGAGGGGGGGGGGGAAGGGGGGGCATTTACCAGGTAGGACGAGGGAGGACGGTGGAGAAGGGAGGACAAGAAGGCGGGAGGAGGAGGACGTACGAGGAGGACGAAGGACGGCCGCCAGGGATGAGGAGGGAGCACGGAGGAGGAAGGAGGAAGGACGCAGGAGAAGGACGGCCGCCAGGGAGGAGGAGGAAGCACAGAGGAGGAAGGAGGAGGAGAAGGGACAGAGAGTACGACGCGGAAGGCGAGGAAGGAGAGGGTAACCGCCTGATCACCGCTTGTCTGCCTGTGAGGTGTTGCCGTCGTGGTCGGCGTCGTCCCTCATCTTGGCCACCGCCGTCGTCATCGTACCCGTCGTCCACTCGGACTCGCTCTCACACCCAGGCACTCACAGCCAGACATTCAAAGCAGGAAGTGCCAGAAGATGAGATGCACCTATAGGGATCCCCGCGTCGAGCACCTTTTGTTCTTGGAGCGTCCGATGGTTCCAAGAACCTTCCGAGGCAGGCCCATAAGAAGGCCGGGACGTTCGGTCCCTCCTCCCCAGACGTCCGGCCGCTCCAATTTCCGGGGTCTGGACCACTTCCCCGGGCCGGTTTCGACGCTCCCGAGGCCCGGCGAGGGCCCCCGGAGGTCGAGAATGGCCCAGGTCTCGCCGCTCCAACTTTTCTGGAGCGCCGGACCTCTGGGACCCCCTCCTCCTGCTGCTGAAGTACAGCTCCTGAAGTACGCATTGTCCTGAGTAGACCCCCGACGCGCGCAGCTTCTCATGCGAGGCCATGGCCTCACCCGCCTCGCCTGTAAGGGGCCAGGGCGCATGCCCCGTATCCTCCTGCTGCTGCTGCTGCTGCTGCTGCTGCTGCTGCTGCTGCTGCTGCTGCTGCTGCTGCTGCTGCTGCTGCTGCTGCTCCTGCCCCCCTCGCTCCAGCCCCCTCCAGGAGAGGCCCCTCCTCCGAAGAGCCCCCCGATCGGCTGGACGGCTCGATAGCCTCGAGGGCCTTTTCTAGGGAGCTCCCACCGTGTGCACATGCCCTGCTAGAGCAGCTGAACCTATGAGAAGGCTGGCTAGCGCGATTGGTTTGCAGACGTTGCGACTAGGTTCAGCTCAGCTGTGTATGATCTTGTCCGAGGACCCTGGGAGTCGGAGCTCAAACTTTTTGGGGGAGCTCTGGCTCAACGCAGGACACGCTCGAGGCCGACAAGAAGTACTTGGCGGACCTCCAGGCCCAGTGCTCCCAGAAGGCCTCGGACTTCGGGTCCCGGCAGCAGCTCCGGGCGGAGGAGCTGGAGGCCCTCGCCAAGGCCAGGCCGCCCGGAGCGCTCCCCGGCCGCCGCGGCCGATCAGCATCGCAAAGCCGCGCGCGCTCGAAAGAACTGCGAGCGGCTGGCCAAGAGATCCGCACTCCCCAAAAAAGTGGGAGCGGAGGGATTTGTTGGCCGTTTTCGGCTTCCGGGGGCCCTCGCCGGGCCTCGGGAGCGTCCAAAAACGGCTCGGGACGAGAAACCGGCCCCGGGGAAGTGGTCCAGACCTCCGGGGCCCACGCCTAGAAAAAGTTGGAGCGGCCGGACGTCTGGGGAGGAGGATCGAAACTCGCCCAGTCGCCAAATCAAGACCGACCAAGATCGCAAGGCCGCTGGCCTCCGCGATCGAGCAGAGTCGAAAAGGTAAAATATCAGAATCGCGCACACTCGGGGGGGATGCGGCGCTCCAGAAAGGGCCTCCGCCTTCGAGCCTCTGCGGGTGGAACGCCCGCCACATGGAGCCACGTCGTGCCATGCAGCATCAGGCGATATTTGGGGGCCGTCTTGAGCTGTGTGAAGCACAGTGGAGTCTCACATGGCCACAAATCCTCCGAATGATGTCCCCGAACTGGGCGTGTCGACAGTGGGCGACAGGGGGGGAGGCGGGGGTTCTAGCTCTGGACCTATGCTTAGGGCGACTGCTTGAATCAGCGCCAAAATAGAATGATTCACATATCAATTATACTATAAAAGAAAAGTATGCACAACCAAAATATAGCCAACCAAATAACGGCACGAGTTAGAAAATAATGAACAAAAACCAAAGCACCCAAAAGTGAACGTAAAGGAATGAGAAGAAAGTTAGCCGAAGCACGAAAACTTCAGCAGTAAGAGTGAGGCCTCAGCAGAAGGAGGAAGGGATAAGCAGAAGGAGGAATAATGGAAGGAAGCGGCGACCCCCGGGGTCAGTCTCCTTTACAACGCACCTGGCGCCCCAAAGCCCCTTTCTTATGTTCCCGAGGGCCGCCGCGAAACACACGATGCACAGTTGCGCGAAACAGCGATTCGCGTGTCCAACAAGGGAGTGGGGGGGAGGCGGGGCCCCCCTGCTTACTCCGCCTGCTTGAAACAGGCGCCAAAAGGTGTGTCAGTGATTTGAGCTTTGCGGGCCGGGGGGCTTTAATTACGAGTTTCGTCATTTCCATCGAGGACATAAAATCAAAACCTACTGTAGCCTTGGGGGGCCCTGTTGAGGCTGTCTTGGAGCCCGATTGGCCCCTCATGGGGCTCTGTTGGGCCATCTTTGAGCCGCATGAAAGCTTCTAAAGCTCGTTGGAAGCGAGAATGCGAGAAAGCACAAACTATTAATTCTCCTTGGTTTGGGAAAGACGTTGGCCTCTCGAGGGGATCATTGGGAGGCTCCGTGGTCATTTGGAGCAGATGTAGGACCATGTGGGCTCACTTGGAGGACGTTGGATTCTATGTTGCCAGCCTGGGCATGTTGTGCGTCCTTGGAAGAGGCGGCCATCCTAGGCTATCTGGGGCCATCTCGGACGCTCCAACGCCTCGCGGCCCCCCCCCCCGCCCCCCCTCCTGACCCAGGGGACGGGGGAGTGAGAGGGGCCCACTACCCACGATCAAGGGAGGAAAAAACTCCCGGATCCGACGATTGGCGTTTACTGAACGGCCCTGGGAGTTGGCTCAACAGCCCTGCCCTGTTCGATTCCCTCTGTGGGCTGCGTTTGCTAAGCGGCTTCGCGTGTCGGGTGATCATTACGGCGGGGGCGTTGGATAAGGAATGTCCTCCGCCAGACCCTGGCGCATTCCTTCCTGCGTCGAGGCGGGGTGGGCGGCCCGCGTCTTGCCTCCCATCGGCCGCGAGACCCTGGGTTCCTTAGCCAAGGGCTCCTCATCAAAGACCTCCGCCGTATGGGGGCTGATTTTCTGCCCTCCTACGCAAGCCGCAGGCCGTCTCGCTCACTCCCAGCTGCCCTCCCAACACGGAGGCAGCACCCGAGCCTCGGCACGGCCAGGGGCCGCCTCCGACAATCCTCGGGAGCCAGTGCAGAAAAGCCGGCGCCATACGCAAGCCGCAGGTCGTCTCGCTCACTCCCAGCTGCCCTCCCAACACGAAAGCAGCACCCGAGCCCCGGCACGGCCGGGGGCCGCTCCCGACAACCCCCGCGCGGGAGCCAAGCGCAAAGCGCAGAAAAGCCGGCGCCCGGCGTGCGCCGCCCGCGAGGGGGGCGCCGCGCGGGGGGCGCGCTGCGCGCGCCGGGGGGCACCTGCGCCAGCCGTGCAGGCCGGAGAGGCGAAAGGATCGCGAGGCGCCCGCGAAGGGTCTTCTTATTCTGGCTTTCTGGATGAGCGTGGGGGGGGTACCCTGAGCGAAAGGATCGCGAGGCGCCCGCGAATGGTCTTATGTTCTGGCTTTCTTAATGAGCGTGGGGGGGTACCCTGAGCGTGGGGGGGGGGTACCCCCCCCCCCCGACGGGGATCCACCTCGCCGCATCGTCGCGCCGCGGCGGGGGTCGGAGCGCCTTCGGCGCGCGGCGGCTGCCCGCGGCGGGGGTCGGTGTGGGGCTGTCGGCGGGGGTGGCGCCCCCCCGACGCTTATGAAGAAGCTCGGAGTAGGCTGTCGCCGCGTGCACTTCGCGTTCGTTTTTGGCAGGGGTGCTGGGCCTGCACCCCTGGGGCAACATCAGAACCCCACCCCCACCCTCCCGCCCCTGTTTAAAAAAATGAAGTGATCACTGGGCGCCCGAACATGGTCCAGATTTACCACAAAGTGCACTTGGCACTGCTTGTTGGCAGGGATGGCGGAGAGGGATTGGCATATCCTTGGTTTGCCGTGGATCGGGAGAGAAGGGGGTGTTTATCAGTGAGGAGCAGAGATGAACCCCTCCCCGAAGGGAAGGAGGGGGTCGGAGGAACGATACCTCTAAACCACTTGCGACGAGGGGCTTGGTGGGGCTGCCATTTGCGTCAGCCTTGATTTCTGCGTTGTGGGAGGGGGGTCTGAGCGTGGCCATCTGGTTGATTCGAGATGGCTAGCTTCACTCCTACTCGTCCCCCTCTCCACTTCGTCCTCCTCCTCCGCCTCCTCCTCCTCGTCCCTTTTCAGAGTCCACCCCCGGGCCTCTCTTGCAGCGCCCTCTGGCCAGAATTTCGACGTGGATCCAGCCGTGGGGACGAGGCACCCCCCAGGCCCCCCCCCCAGGAGGCGAGCTTCGTCGCGGTGGCCGCGGGGGGGGGGAGGCGGGATCTGGATCGCCCGTCTGAGCACGGCTACGGGCAGGGGCAGTTCGGGGTACAGGCATCCCCAGACGAGGGGTGGTCTAAAATGGCTCGTCTGGGAGGGTCATACAGTAGGCGCAGCAGGCAAGAAAGCGGCCGTGTCAGCGTGTGCCCGGCGGAAACGCCGTGCCCCCCGAAGGCCCCAGAAGCCCTGAGACGCCCCAGGATCTCTTCAGAGATCGACGGAGGGTGTGCTCCAAGATCCCGCGTGGCGAGATGTACAGTCCACGCGCATGACGAGGACGCGCGCCCTTCTCTACATAGGGCACCCTGGGGCCCCTTCCTGCCTCTGCCTCTGCGGGCCCGGCCTCTGCAAAGCCTCACTGGCCAGCCTCCCAGGCTGCCCTCGGGGCGGGCGCCGCCCCTCGGCCTGCGCGGCGGGGCGTGCCCGTGGGGGGGGGGGGGCAGCTCCAGGCACGCGGGCAGCCAGGGTGCCCCTGGCCGTCCTTCGGCGCGTCGCCCTCGTCCTCGCCACGCGTTCCACCTGCGGGCGACGGGCGCTCCCCTGGCCGTCCTTGGGCGCGCCGCCGCTGTATACTCGCCCAACCCCCCACCACCACCACCAACCCATTCCTCTCTCTCCCCACCAGTCTCAGGAGGGGAAAAAACACACAGACACAATGCATCGTCGATTCCCCAGAAAATATGGGAAAATATGGGAAGTGGGGGGGAAGGCAGAAACCCAGAAGATATTAGAAAAGATGGGGAACCATTTTATTTGTGTGTATTTATTTGTGTGTCCCAGGGCCCCTTCACAGTCATGCTGCCATCCGGAGTGGCCGACAACATGGATCGGCTCCCCCTCACACAGGGCCTCCGACGTGGCGCCGGGGCCCACCCCATGTGCGCCCAGCCCGATGCAGAACGCAAGGATCCCTTGGATTCCCAGCGCCTCTCGAGACTGTGCCCTCCAGCGCCCCCCTGAACCTCCGCAGCGCAAAGTATTCGACGCGGGGGATACCGAAGGATTGCAAAAAAAACCAGGATTGCAAAAAAAAAAAAAGGATTGCAAAAAAACCCGAAGGATTGCAAAAAAACCCGATGTGCGTCCCAGATCCCGGCACGAGCGACGCAGGCGTAGCCCGCGCCGACTCGGCGAGCGTTGGCGGCCGTCGCCTGCTTGCCGCCTCGGGGTTGCTCCCTCCGGGCCCTGCCAGGAGAGGGGTCGGGGGCTGGCCCGAACCAGCGCTTCGCCCGAGAGGCCTCACGAGCCGGGCACGGACTGGCAAGTGCAACACCCCTCGGGGCACTGCCTGCTTCCAGTCGGGGGAGCGTAAGACCTGGGTTTGCCAGGACTCGGGTTCGCCATCGTTTTTTGACGACCGCGACTCGGATTTTGACGAGTAGGAGTTTCGTGGGATGTCTGCAGCGGGAGGCCTCGTCAAAATGCAGGCTCGGCCTCGTCATTTTTGTTGACGACCTCGTCGGGGATTTCCGAGTCCCCTGTACCCGGGTCTTACGCCCCCCTGATCCAGGCCTCGAGCCAAACGATGTGTTGTGGCGATTCCGCGGACAGCGTTCGTTCCGAGCTGGCTTCGCGGCAGAGGCAGAACGAGATCCCGACGGAGGGAAACGAACAAAACAAAAAAAAACGCAAGCGAAGAACACGGTCCAGCTCGAGCCCTGCCTGCCCGATCGCCGTG